CAAGAATGATGAGAAACATATAGTTGTACTACTTGCTAAGGATGCCAAAGGTGAGGGCGATACAGAGAACATTAGTTCCTCGTAGCACTTTCCTGCAGTTTGTCAGATTTGCATCTATAATACTAGCATTAGTCATCTTGGAAGGAAGCGAGGAAGAAAGAGAGGTACCCGCACTACTGCAGCTCATTGATACATGACTTTCAAGATGTTATGACCAACAACTTACCAATGGGACTACCGCTAATAAGGGACATTCGACAAGCTATCAACCTTATACCAGGATCCGTATCAAACCGACCGACCTACATATTAAGATTCGTGGAGTATGAAGAACTACATGACAAGTGTAGGACCTCGTTGCAAATAAGCTAGTCAGAGAAAGCACCAGTTCGTGTGCAATCACGGCGATGCCTAAAAATGATGGATCGTGACGAACGTGCATCGACAACCGTGCCATCAACAAGATTACCATCAAATATCGATTTCCCATATCCCGCTTGGATGATCTCTTAGACCAACTACATGGAGCCACTATCTTCTCCAAGATAGACCCGCGCTGCGATAACATCAGATACAGATGAGGCCGAGAGACGAATGGTAGACCGCCTTAAAGACATGGGACAAAGTTTATGAGTTGACCGTTATGCCTTTCAGTTTGTCCAACATGCTTAGCATTTTCATGAGATTAATTAACTAGGTATTTCGACCTCACATTGAAAAGTTTGTTGTTGTCCATTTTGATGACATTCTAGTATGCAACCGGTTAGAGGAAGATCACTTGCATCACTTGAAGGCAGTATTTAAGGTACTTCGAGCCCAACAACTGCATGCCCATCCGAAGAAATGTCACTTCATGACAAGCCATGTATGCTTTCTTGGTTACATCGTGTCTAGTGTAGACATTCAGATGGATCCCGTAAAGATAAAGATCATTATCAGCTAGGCCGTACCATAATCATTCATCGAGCCGAAGCAATTCTTGGGGATGACATCCTTCTATCAAAATTTTATTCGGAACTTCAGGAATATCATCTCTCCTCCGGCTGAACTTCTAAAAGGAAAGGAGTTTACTTGGACTACAACAACCCAAGACAGTTTGAAACACTGAAAGAAAATGTAACTTAGGCACCTGTGCTAGCACTACCTGACTTCAACCAACTTTTCGAGGTAGAATGTGGTGCCTCCAACGTGGGGATTGGAGCAGTGCTAAGATAAAGAGGACACCCATCGCTTTTTTTAGTGAGAAATTGAACGAGTCTAGGAGGAAATACTGAACTTACGAAAAAAAATTCTACTCCATCGTAAGAGCTCTAGAACAATTGAGTCATTAACTGTTGAAAAATAAGTTTACACTATTTACAGATCACAAGACCCTAAAATTCCTCAATAGCTAGAACAAGCTAAAGGGACAACACGTCACTTGCGTGGAATTTCTTGCCTCATGCCACTTTGTACTAAAATACAAGGAGGGATGCCAGAATCGAGTAGCAGATGCATTGAGTTGTCAACACTTATTGATCACATCCATGCAGGCTCGCATTGTGGGCTTCGAGGTCATAAAGGATCATTATGAAACAAATGAAGATTTCAATAACGTATGGTTGCAATGTCAGGAGAAGTTAGCAGAGAAATATTATCGCACATATGGATAACTATTCCATCAGAGTCAGTTATGCATTCTCCGGTCTTCAATAAGGGAGAACATTGTTCAGGAAGGCCACACTGGAGGTTTAGCATAACATATTGACAGAGAAAAAATCCTCGTCCTCATAAGTGAACATTTTTTTTTTGGCCAAACTAACAAGAGATGTAGAACGACATGCAAAACAAGGCAGGATTTGTCATCTAGCCAGACGAGATCAGATCGCCAAATTGTACTCACCACTTTCAGTACCAGATGCATCTGGGGTGGATGTCAGCATGGATTTTGTGCTAGGATTTCCAAGGACTCAAAGGAACAAAGATTCTGTGATGATTGTAATAGACAGATTCTTCAAGATGGCCCACTTTTTATCCTGCCACTAGATGCCTCTCATGTCGCCAATTTATACTTCTGGGAGATTGTAAGGCTTCATGGGATTCCCAAGACCCTTACCTCCATCAGACGTCAAACTCCTGAGCCACTTCTAGAGGACACTATGAGAAAAGCTCGGTATTAAACTTCAATTCAACTCAACAACACATCCACAAACAGACAGACAGACAGAGGTAGTAAATCGAAGCCTCGGTAATCTCGTGATGTGTTTCGTGGGAAAAAACATAAAATAGTGGGACCTTATCCAAGTCCAAGCTGAGTTCGACTATAACCGATCCATCAATCAAACTACATGACAAACTCCTTTTGAGATTGTGTACAGGCACAATCTGTTCACGCTACTTGAATTGGCACAGCTCTTGCTATCTTCAAAAATCAGTAAGGATACTACAAAACGAGTTCACGAGATCCAAAAGCTCCACAAAGAAGTTGGCAAGGAAATTGCTAACAAGAACAACAACAACAAAGCTTGGGCTAGAAGCAACTGGGGTTGAAGCTCCGCGAAACTTCGTGAACTGGACGGGGATCCGTGATCTCGTGAAGCTGAGAAAACCCGCGTCAGGGGGAGGGATCACGAATTCTCGCGATCCAATTGTGCTATTCACACCAAATCTTTTTTAGGAAGAGTTTTCTTGATTTTTCTTGTCTTTTCTATCTCTTTCTTCTTGTGTAGAAGTTGGAGGCTATAAATAGCTGTCCCTTGAGTGTGTGGGAGGAGGCAGTCCTACTAGAGTTGTCTTCTAATATTCTGTGTGGAGTCTGTTCCTTCTTGTTAGGGCTGTAGCCGACAATAGGTGGTGCTTCGACTGCGTCCTGTTTCTAATTGGTGTTGTAAACTTCAAACTCCTTCGCTACTACTCTCCGCTTTTCCCTACCACTCCCGTAGCCGTCTACCACCCCCACATTCCTCCACCATCTCGACATCCAATCCACCCACAACCAACGACAAATAATCCCCTACCTACCCAATGACCGCTCACTCCGACGATGCACCGCTACTTTCTTTGAATGTCTTCCTATATCTTTGGTTAGGAATTTAGTCAATTATTGTATTTATCTTTTGATTGAGTCGTGTTGTATCCGTATTTTTATTTTAATAAATGTTTAATTTTACGTATTACGCCACATCACAAGTAGTTCCGGTATCAGTTAGGGACTGTTACATCATCTCGGGCACAAGATACAGCTGGAGCACCACTTGTCCCATTTGATATAGCCTTCAAATGGAAAAATCTGAGACATTGTTGGCTGTTTCGATAGAAATACACACAAAAACTGACCTAAAACACAAAAATAACATATTTATAGATTTATGGTAACTAAGCATTGTTGAAAGGAGACGCTAAACCTAAACGGAGGAGCCGATCGAGTCTCCCCTTGCCTGGATCAGTTGATCTAGGCGTATGAAACTTAGTATTCCCCACTTGCGCTTCTCTTCACTCCCGCATCAGTGCGAGAGACGATCCCACGTCAACTCTTATCAAAGATATCATGATCTGAGCAGCCATATCTTGATGTTTGTATCCACTCTCATCTTTGATATCATTCCAATTCACTCTTAATCTTCTTTTATGTCTCAACAAGCAAGCAACTAACCTGGGTATCATAATCAAATATTCAATGCTGAATTAGATTAGTGATTGAGGAAGTTAAATTTCAAATTGCTTCTCTGCCCAGTTACAGTAATCCTAACTCCACCTCTTTGAGGGTGGATTTGTGCTAGAAATTGCGTGGTGATTATATTAAAGACCAATGATGCATTTGATTATGAAGAGTCTCAACACATAATGGTTTCTCTCTATCCTGTAAAAAATGTGGATATAGGCTATTTCACAACTACTATTAATTTGCTTTGTCATGGATTGACTTTGTTTTTCCACCGCCTTCACTATCAATTTGTGATTAATTTTTTCATATACTCACCGAATGTTGACTTCATGCTGTCGTCACTTATACAACCATCTATTCATGGGACTTTCCAATATTATCGATTGACTATTGATTTATATTGAAGTTCGACTTTGAAACCTCTGAGCTTTTTATAGGTTGTTTAGTTTCTAGCAGTCTTGCTGGTCCTATATGATGGTTGTTGATCACTTCCACAACCTCCATGCTATCATATCTGTGTATATTTTGGGTGTACTAGCCTTGCATGAGGCAATTTTGCCTCTATCACCACCTTAGTCACCTTTCAACTCTTCCTAAAGAAATTCATATCGGCCCATGTGAAATAATGAAGGACAAGAATGTGTCCATTTAATTAACAAACTTTAATCTATAATATTTATGTAATAAGGACACTTTATTACTCTTGTTTTGTTAAAAATTTAATGTATTTTAAAGATGTATTTTAGAAGTTTTATTCTTTATAATAGGCTCTCTCATGTATTAGAGGCATTTGATTTTGATTTATCGAATGATCATGCCATTAAAGCTTTTCTCCAACCTCTCTCTCTCCCCCTCTCTCTCCCTCATCTTTTCTCCACCTCTTTCTCTTTCCTCTGGTATCTCTTTCTCATTCGTTTGCTACTGTATTACTTTGTAGAAACTTCCTATTAATCAGCCCTGAGTATGCCCTTTTTTTTGAACTCGATATTTTGTTTTGGAAATTGGTTTTAATGCACATGCATAATGTCAGCATGCTAGAGATCTTTGTGATTTGACTATAGTTTCTATTCATCAAGATCGTCATACTTTGTACACTGAAGTTTCAGCAGTTCACTGATTTTTTTCATTTTCATTTTTAAAATTAAAGTATCTGATGAATATTTCAACAATTATTTATCCAATCTTTTTTCTTTACTTAATTGTTGTAGCCGTCACCGTGTTATTGATCAACATCATTATCATCATCATTAGCTTTATTCCAAATATTATGAGATTTAATGTGCTGTAATGTTTGTAAATTTGTTAATAATTTTGTGCTTTTTTTTATGTCAATCGCTAATATTTCAATATCTTGCAGTAAGGACATTGCTAATTTCCATAGACCAAAAGCATTATGGTATCCTCATGACAACGAATTTGCTGCGAAGTCACAAGGAACACTCTGTTCAAGTGGGCCTTTCAAAATTGTTGTAATGAGTTTGGCAGGGAAAGGAGTTAAATTGCACGTTGATGCGGAAGAAACTTTATCCAGTGTTAAATTGAAAACATCGAAGAAACTAGGTTTGCCATTCTTTTAGTTGCATCCTAAATGTATCCCAACTCATTCTAGCATTGATTTTCCTTCTTTGTATGTACACCCACTTGTCTTCATCTAATATATTGCTGTTTGGTTACTCTCTGGCTTTCATTTTTTTTTTCTGGATATTTAAAATTGAAATCTCTGATGAATCATTGATGCAGAATTTAAAATGTCTGAGAAGGTGAAGTTTTTTTATTCTGGTAGAGAGCTAGAGGATGATAAGTTTCTTGCAGTTCAAGGAGTGCGTCCAAATTCTGTGCTTCATCTTGTGCGTACAAGGATACAGCTATGGCCAAAGGCACAGAAGTTGCCTGGTGAAAATAAACCTCGGCGGCCTCCTGGTGCATTTAAGAAAAAATCTGAGTTATCTGTGAAAGATGGTCATGTATTTTTAATGGAGTAAGTGGTTGACTTTCTATTTGGACTCTGGTTTTTTTTGCCATTTTTTAAAGGGAAATTTACATGCATTCTACACAATTCCTTTCTATTCACATACCTAACACCTAAAGTTTGATATTTTCATTTATAATACCTTGGTGTACTAAACCTATGCTTGAAAATGTGTATTCAGTTTTAAAGTAGTGGTGCTATTTTTGTTGTGATTTTAATTATTTGAGTGCTATGTATGTAAATATCCAAGTTTAGGTGTTAGATATGCCAATACATATGAATTGTGTGGTATGCAAGGTTGTAGATGAACTAAGCGTTGGATAAGCTACTTGTAGCTCAGCTCGATAAGAGCTCGTTTATGTTAATTTGATTAACTAATTGAACAAATCTGAAAACTTTTATAGATGTTCGATTTTTAATTGAACAAGTTTGAACAACTCCTTGTTTGATTCATTTAACAATATTTTTTAAGGCTTGCGAATATGCTTGTTAGGAAGCTCGATGAACAATTTCATTTAAAGTTTGTGAATAAACTCACAAATATGCTCGATTTAATGCTTATGAATAGGATCATTTAGAACTTAATTTAAAGCTCGTGTAAAATCAAAATTTAAAAATCATTTATATTAAATTAAATTAAAATTTTGAATCATAATACATAAAAAAAAGATAAAGACTTGTTTGTTTAGTTTTTCAACTATTTACGCATTTATATGTTTATTTTAGCCATTTATTTTGTAGCTACTTTATTGAAAAGCTCTTTTATTTTTGTAGGTTCAACAAGTAACTCATGTATAAGCTCGATAAAACACATTTGATTAGAAAACAAATAGCTTAATTATACTGCTTATTAGTTTGTTTGATAAATCTCATTTAGCTAGAAAATAAATAACACTATGACACTAATCTTAATTTTCTTAATAAAAACCGTTTTAATGAAAATTAAATAGCTTGATAATACTACCCATTGATTTACTCGATAATGTGTTGATTATCATCATATGAAAGAAAAATGAATCAAACTAAAACAATCTGAATGAAAAATGAATTAAGTTTGAATATAAACGCTAAAGCTTGATCGAGCTCGAGCTTGATTTCATAGAAAAATTTCAGGCTTGAATACAGTCCTAGAAGCTCAATTGGTGTTCAAGCACAGCTCAAACTCGAATTTTATAAACAAGCTCAAGCTTGAACACAACTCTGCTCGACTTGGCTCAGTTTGTTTGCAGCCCTAGTGGTATGTAAGTAAATGCTGCTCTTTGAAATTATCTTCACATACTTTTGACTTCATGTCCTGGATTATATCACTATGGGTCTATGAGGCTGTACTATATGTATTAGTTATATCCAAGCCAATTTGAACTTGTACTCGTATTTTAGCCAAACAGTTACCCAAGAACTAGAAATTACTTTTGAGTTTGATTTTATTTCCATTTACTATATTGAAAAAGTTGTCGGACTTTTTTTGTTGCCTTTGTTGTGCATGATCCTAAATCATGATGGCGTTAAAACTAAATCAATGCTGCTTTTGGTAAACATTTACCTTGCCTTTAGAATTTGAAATAGAAGTTTTGGTAATATGATTTTCATTGAATCTTAGCAATTGGTTGCAAAAACAAACTTCTTAGGCTAATGAGTTATAAAAAATAAAGAATTAAGAAATATAATCTTTGTAATCAAGGAAGGAAATTCTCCAATAAAAAGGAAGGGAATTATTTTTAATTGCATTCCTTCAAAAAACAACGTAAAAATATTGCTGTTTTTAGATATTATATATTTCCTTTATATAATGTTTGATGAAAAATATATCTTTTTAAATTATAAATCTTAAATTTCTATGCAAGAACATCAAGTAGTTTGGCCAATTAGTTTAAAATATACTGCAAAGCTAATTTTTTTTTTCTTTTAGCTGAACCTATGGATGATCTCGTTTTTTAAGAGGTCATTACCTTGATATTCTTATTTAATTGAAATTATTGTTAGTTTCTATTAAAGCTTGGTTAACAGTTACAAATTTTTTTAATACACCTGATTTTTATGAGTTTCATTCTATGGAGACGTAATTCTTATATAGCTTTTATCAATGCATTTAACCAGCAGGTACTTGTATTTTTCAAGTAGTGAAATTGCCTTGATTATTTGGAATTACAAAATATGTACCTGGCAATGGCCGGGTAACATGACTTTCTTCTTCATACTTCAGTGTTGATTGATTAAAGCACGGAGTATATCTTTTCTTTACCGGATGATGTTAGTGTTTTGATATGTTCAATAGTTTTCCTTGGGTCGTCAATTTGTTTGAAGGATAAACGTGGAGTTGATCGGATCTGCGTTATTCTCATCAAAATATTTAAATATGTTTTTTTTTTTGCTGTAAATATTTTGTGTTTTTATTGTTTATTAAAATTTTGGCAACTTTCATTTGTAAAGATAAAGCACTGACCTATGCCAGACTCTAATGAGACTGCAATGATGAATAAAATTGTCATCTTTTGGCTTCTGCGTTTTGCCCTTTTATAAAACTGGTTTTTGATGCTTCATTAGATTATTTGAGTTTGTTTTATGTATTTTGATACCTACATGCCTATGGTCTTTAAGGTTTTATTCATGTGCGAATAGGTATTGTGAGGAGCGGCCTTTATTACTCGGAAATGTTGGGATGGGGGCTAGATTTTGCACTTATTACCAAAAGCTTGCGCCTAATGATCAAACAGCTTCATCTCTTCGAAATGGAAACAATGGTCTTGGCTCTGTGCTTACACTTGATCCTTCTGACAGATCTCCTTTCCTTGGAGATATTGGTCCCGGTTGCAGCCAATCCTGTCTGGAAAATAACATGTACCGATCTCCTATTTTTCCTCATAAATTGCCCCAGACAGACTATCTTTTGGTACGTTCAGCAAAAGGTGCCCTGTCCATTCGACGCATTGATAGACTATATGCAGTCGGACAGCAGGTAGGGTTTTTGTTTACCCATAAAATGCAAATTCTTTCTCCTTTATTTTGTGTGCCACTGGTTTTTAAAGGTTTTTTTTTTGTTTGTATTTCCTTGTTTATTGTAATTTTTTTTATGATAAAACTTTTTTTCTCCCATTTTTTTTTAAATATCAGTAATAGGACTTTTTAGTTTTTGATCTCATTAGCACTTTATCATTAAAGATTTTATTGCTGTGATGGAAAATATGCTAATTTCTTACCAACTGTAATCTTGATTGTTTGATTCTTTATGGTAGCTTTGTGGAATTTAAAACACTATTGGATAAATACAGTGCCACAAAAGTATTCCATGAGAATTATGGATGAAATAAAAATTAATCAGTCATGTGCTGCAGGAACCACATATGGAGGTACTTTCTCCAGGGTCCAAAAATGTTCATTCATATCTTGTGAACCGGATGCTGGTATATGTGTATCGCGAGTTTCGTAGAAATGAGAAACCTGGAATCCTTCCATCTGTTCGTGCTGATGAGTTGGGTGCACTTTTTCCTGGCTTTACAGATGCTTTCATGCGCAAGAGACTGAAACTTTGTGCGGATTTGAAGGTGTGCTGAATTTATGCTACGGACTTTGCATCAGTACTAAAGTGTTTCATGAGCAGCTGGATTCTATTTTTTAATTATAGTGCTACTCGGTGAAATATTTTTTTTACTTTTTTTTTTTTGCATTTGAGGTATTTTTAGAAAGGAGCTTGGGTTAAGAGGATTGATTTTCGTATTCCATCTGAGGAAGAGTTAAGAAGAATGCTGTCTCCAGAGAATGTGAGTCATTTCAACTTACTGTTGCTTGTACTTGATATGCTGTTGCATTTTATGAATGTCCTGATATTTTGGATTATATCTTTTTTTTTGTCTGTGCATAGATTTTCCCGGAAAAAGCTATTTTTTTTACTGTTATTTAATTTTGTTTTCCAGCCCTGCCAAGCTGGCATGGTTTTGTTTTTTGAGATAATTGTTTCTGTTGAGATCTGCGTTTGATACATGCCATGTGTTTGAGGTGCAAATCCTGGATAACCCATTTTTTAACTCTCTTCGAAAGTTGGGATAAACATATTGTAAACCATTTTATTTACTGAACGAATGTTCTATGCACTATGATTCTCTGTTTTTTATTACTTCTATATGCTGTTTTAGGGATTTGAAAAATTGTTATTCACAATACAAATGATAAGTTAATACGACAATTTCTGTAAAGGAGATTAAAATGCATGACATTTAAAACCAAATCAGGCCATGATTTCTCCAAATAAAAAAAAAAAAACAGAAATAAAATATATTATTAATTCTAGTTGCTCAAAATATAATTGATTTATTTTAAATTAATCATATCCTGATTGCCTCTCATAACTCTGGCATTTTGGAGCATATTTATATATCAATAATGCTCAATTTGCTTGCAAGGAGTTTCAAATCTGGCCTGACTAACCCTTTGGTAAGGATATCAATTATTTGTTACATTGTGGGAACCAAAGTTGTGTAGATAGATCCACAATCAATTTTTTCTTTTGACAAGTGTCAATCAATCTCTACTTGTCTTGTTTGATCATGTTATACCGAAATTAGTGTAATTGCTTTGTTGTTACAATATAGTTTCAGTAGTAAGCTTGATACCACTTTTTTTTCTTTGAGAAGTTTTTTCACTCATAGCATCTCACATATTTTGCTTCAATGTGGCTTTTTGCCAATACTTTCCACTTTTTGCTTATCCATGTGGCTGCATTTCCCATAGCAAACATACAATACCATGTTAGGTTTTGGATTTAGATTTGTTTGTGGATGCACACCACCTAAGAAAAAACTGTATTTGAGGAAAGAGCCCCAAGATGTGAATGGAGATGAAGGATGGAAGGAAAGAAAGAGTAAGAGGAAACTTTTTAAGGTCTATTATTGATCTTCCAGGAAGAATCTTTAAATCTGTTTGAGCCCGCCTTCTTTTTTCTGCCTGGTTACTTTATATTTATAATTGAGGCTTGCCCGAGGCATAATGCATATAACGCTACACAAAAAATTTAATGTATACAATACATAGTACGACGTCAAATATAGAACAATATAGCTTGGTGTGCGGCCTCCGGGCCTTATTTGTCTGTATGATCTCTAAGCTATCTATTGCTAACTTATTAGGTGTATCGATAAAGTTTATTTTTATTATTAGAGATCTTGCTGTGCGGTCTATTTAAGTTGTTTTGGCTCGATTTGCCTGCTATCATGGCTGGCAAATTGATGGTTTGCTCTCTTTGGCTGAACTGGCTAACAGAGCTCCCTTGGCTGAGTTGTGTGATCAAGTTATTTGGTCAAATTAGCTGACTAACTCGTCTTGAAGTGAACTCAATTCAGAGCGATTTATTTATATATATATATATTTCTTCGATTCTTTTATCTTTTTTAACATTGCGACAAAAATAAGAGAATGATATTTGATTGATATTTGATTGTTTATGTTAACAATAAACACTTTTTATTGAATTTATTTAGATGTGTTGATTAATTTGAAAATTGGGTCTCTCAAATTTCTTTTATAAATAAGAAGGGAGTGCTTTATATTAAGGCATCGTTGATAAAATTACTTTACTAATCTTATAATTTGTCTTCCATGTCTTTGTTTGTTTGATGAACGAGGCCATTGAAGAGCAACTCACTATTAAATTATTAATTTTGTAATAACATAATTAATTAATTTATTTTTTAATGTGAATACCATATTTTTTTTGATTTTCAATTTTAGAGGGATCGACTCTAAGACAAATTAAAAATTATTAATTCATCGACATTGAGCTGAGTACTCATGTTCTTAAACTGTGGTGATATTTTGCTTCTTCTAGACCAAATGTATTTATTAGTACTATTAGTACTATTGAAATTATTGTAAACACATGATTTTGAATTCTAGTAAATCTTTGTTCTTACTATATGAATGTTTTGTGGACAATTTTATTTAAATGATTTATAATTATATTATTTGATACAAAAAAAATATTTTTAGTAAATAATGATTTTGATAGAATGCTTGTATGTGCATAACTGATTATGATAGAGTCACATCTTAATTGTACTAGTGAGAGAACACTAAGGTATCTGTGCACGTATATAAGAAATGATATTGATATTTATATGTCTTAATTGACATTATTTTTAGACGACGCTCCTGTGACGGTTGTGCAGATATAAAATGATATTAATATGCTACTAATATATTAAGGTTCTTTGAGTAGTATCAAATATTTTTATTGATTTATTAAAAACTTGAGTAGTATGCATATTGATTTCTTTTCTCTTGTATTACTCTGGTTTATAAGTATGAGTTTTAACTGGCTTGTTTAGCTTATTGTTAATTTAAACTAACTTTTTAGATTAATCAAGTGACTAACAATCAACATTAGTAGATATAACCTTTATAGAAGATGCGAAAAACCCTCAACAAGGTAATTTTAAATATATTGCTTTAATTTTAATTTAATTATTGACTCTTTTATTTGTTAAATTGTAGACGAATATAAAAAAATTAGTTCCCACCATTCGACCGTCTTAATTCTAAGCGCTGGGCCAGGTCGCGACAAAAATGATATCAGAGTCAAAAATTTAGGATTAATTAATAAAATGTAGATGAAAAATTTAACATAATGATTATAAGAAAGTTTTAATAATTATAAAAATTAAAGTTAACTTAAAGTAATAAGTTTTATCTATTCAGGCACAAGGCTATAACCAAAATTGTAGAAGGGAATCCGATAGAAAATGCTTGATGGGATGTGACGCGTGGTTCGTTGTTTTTAAAATTTGGAGGATGAAATTTTTGCAAGTTGTTGTCTCACCCCTACTATTCTTTTATGGTCTCTTCTTTTGTGGTCGGCTGAGGTGCAAGAGAGACTGATAATCTGGCCTATTCTTTTATGGTCTCTTCTTTTATGGTCGGCTGAGGTGCAAGAGAGACTGATAATCTGGTCATACCAACTCTTGCCAGCACTCATCATAATTTTATTAATCAAGTCCCAATGGGTAATAAATTAATCTTACTAGATTGCTCTAATATACATGATACATTGCATTTTATAATTTGTTCATATATATATTAGAAAGCATGAAAATCATATCATTCAAAGCTTGAATCACCCCAAAACCCTAAATCGCAGGCTGCGACAACACATCGTGTGCGCGGCTTGCTTGTGTCACTTGTTCGCTCTGTGCTACAGTGGCCCGAGTGACTGTAGCTTCATCGAGGAGGATTTTATAGAAATGAGTGGGACACGACACTTAAGGAAACCCTAAAGCCATTTACATTATCTAACAACTGAGATTCGCAAGATAGGTCGATTATGAATAATGCACATGCGAGAGATACAGGATTAATGAAATTAATTAAGGATTAATTAGGCTAAATAAATGTATAACCTCAAAATTTTATCTTCTCTAATCCGTTAACAATTCATGCATGTTGCTTTATATTGAATTGAAAGATTTCTTGCGTAGAATTTTATAAAATTATTTCAATTAAATTTCAGGAGATGAGAAAATTTGGTGTAATTTTTCAATTGTGTCAAACTTTACCTTGTTTCTTGAACTTTGGGCATTATAGTTGGGAATATTGTAAAGCCCCATTTTAGTTACTCAGGGGAAGAATAAATGAAAAGTCGGAAGAGGAAATGATGAAGAAGTGAGGAGTCGGGTAGCCGAAGAAATGGGAGATGACGTGATAAGATTGGGAAACCGAACCGGTAAGTTCGCCTATAAATTTATTTTGAGGGAGGTGGGAACTTACCAGGAGAGTCAAACGACAACGTTGAGGGTTGCACCGCTAGGGTTGAGCCACAACGTCGACAGAGAGAAGCTGAGGAAGCTGCTTCGGTGTTGAGCGAAGGAGGTGGCGAAACTTCTGTTGTGCGGAGGAGGCGAGTGTAGGAATTCTTGCGCACTTGATCCTAACGAACGAGTCGAAGAAGAAGAGAAGTTAAGAGGAGAGGTGTAATTGCTGAGTGGAAGGAGACAAATCTCGTGTAGAAGCTTTGCAGCATGCAGCCGAGCTGAGCCTTGTTGTGCACGAAGAAAAAGAAGTAGAGCAGCAGCTTCAAGGGTGTTCCCTCGTGCGATTCGTCAAAAAGAGGCAAGGTAATTTTTATTAATTGATTTAATTACACACACAAATGTATATATATATATGTATATATATATATATACATATATATATATATATGTGTGTATATATATATGTATATGTATATATATATATATATGTAATGGAAATATAAATTGGATTATATAGAGTAAAAGAATGAAATTTTTGGCTAATTAAAATAATTTAAAATATTAAATTTGTTATAACATAATGAATAAATTTAAATTTTAATATGAATATCATATTTATTTTAGATTTTTAATTTTAGAAGGGTCGACGTTAAGACAAATTAAAATAATAAATTAATCAATATCGAGGTGAGTACTCATATTTTTATACTGTGGTGATATTTTACTTATTTTATATCAAATACAAATATTGATACTATCTTTAGTTATACTGAAATTTCTATAAACTCATGATTTTGAATTCTAGTGGATCTTTATTTATATTATATGAATAATGTGCGCACAATACTATTTAAATATTTTATGAGTATATTGTTTGATAAAATGCTTGTATGTGCATGACTGACTATGATTGAGTCACTTCTTGTCGGTATTAGTGGAGAACACTAAGGTACCCGTGCTCGTATATGGGAAATGATATTGATATTGATAGTCTTAATTGACATAAATTTTAGATGATGCTC